CTCTATTGGGGCTTTATTTTGCTATATTATAGTAATACGCTAGCTATACTATGTAAGGAGATATTTAAGATCGGAGTAAAATGTGGAGACCCAGCTCTTAGCAACGTGGGTAGGCTAATAACTTCTTACCTATCAGAGTTATCNTATTANTATATTANACAGAAATAAAGCTTAGATTAAGGGCTACAAAATGAGCTACTAAACTTCCTGATTGGGTAAGTATTAGCAGAGTGAATTAAGAAAAACGATCCCGAGGTGGAGACCTAACTCACCACGCTAGCTAGATAGCTAATAAATAATCTATAGTGTAATATAATATAATAAAATATAGTTATAGTATGAGTAGGTAAAGTAATATAAATAAAGAGATAAAGTAGTTAAAAGAATACTCTAACAAAGGAGAGGCTATGATTATAAAACTCTAGATAGGTAGAGACTAGCCCTTGGAGACCTATCAGATACTCTTCAGTCTAGGAGCGTAATAGCTATACAGATATATTATATAGTCTTACCTAAACCCTTAGGTATCTCTCTAAGAATTCGATTTAATCTGCTTGTTAATATATATTGTGTCTATCTGCGAAACACCTTATGGTATTTTAGCTCTTAAATGTAAGATAGTTTCCTTTATAAGTGAATAAGTATTGTATAGTTTTGGTAGAGCGATAATGTAGAGAGGATAGTAGCTAGATTGAGGTTGGTAGCATAGAGAAAATAGGATTCCTCTAGAAATAGCAAGTTTCTCTAGGGGGCTAGCGTAGGGTAGCGTGGATTAATGTCTACACGGCGTTGGCTATTAGTTATGCTAACTATACTGGGCATAACCGCGGAGAAAACGTGGCTGAAACTAAGTAGGATACATCTAATCTAGTCTAATCTATCAAAACGCTGCTTAATCTAAACGTATTTTAGATGGTGCGCGCACAGCTTGAACTAAGATCCCATCGAGGTGCTATCCAAAGGGTGGTCAGCCCGTTACACAAGTAACACAAACAATCATCTATCGTGTGAGAGATTATCAACATTCTGGGGAACAAAACATGTTAGAAATAGGTCCATTCCATCGTTTTGGTAATGCCTCCCAAGCTGAAAGTCACTACAAGCATGATCTTCTGTCGTCTTAGGAGGTGGAATGCGATGACTTCTGCAGTAGGAAGTGAAGCTGTAATAATATCAGTGACGAAATTGAAGATAGCTGTAGAGTACCTGGATCTGTGAGCGCATTGCCCGGCTCCCCTACCGCTTCATTCGCCCACCATACAGCATAGCTATCCATACAGTTTCCAGTGCCCGGAGGTTTCCAAAAATCACTGACTGGACAGCACATAAACAATGTGACAAACGAGGAGACAAAGGCCCGCGCCCCATTCAAACATATGACAATCAAGTATGTCCTACGCTGATACGACGAGAAGAAGGGCATATATTATAGCAAGATGGACGCTTTGACTGTATCAAGGCCAAGGGTGAATAGCCGAATTGATGTCCAAAGCCATCTCAGTAATATTAGCTTCCTCTTCAAATTAAGAGGAAACAACGCATCCTCAGGTGCTCCTGAATTCGCCGTTTCCATCTAGCGGCGAGTGGTGGTCTGCGTGCCGAAAGATCTGCATCGTTAGACAAACAGCTGTGCTCACTGTTGTCGCAGATTGACCCCAGCGACATCTTTGACCAAGACGCGCGGACCCTGGTCGAAGACATACGTTTACGCATTGTGGCGCTCGATATTGGGGCGATAGTCCACGTTCGAAGCAGATGGGCACAAGGCTGGAGCGGCATGCGGGATTAGTCATGGGTAGGCAGTAGCTGGAACGGCCACCTTTGAATTGTTCACTATTTACACTTAGATCTCGCTACTATATGTGCTGTTATTCTCGTCGTGTGAAAGATTAGCACATGTGAAATGTCACTTGCTGCAACAGCTCACTATCTTCTGTGGGAACTAGGCGAAGAGCATACAGTGTTGTAGCTCCACGTCCTAGCATGAAATCAGGATACTTGTGCTTAGGAAGAGGAAGAACTAATTTCAAATCTGACCTATAGAGGAATTGGCAACCCACCACGTCTAACCATCCACTGCCAGTCGTTAGCAAGCGCCAATTGTGCCCGATATATCCTGTCCTTCTCAGACTGCTCGGTCCGTCCAAAACTCCTCCGAGTCAGAACATCCTCATGGTCAGCATCGATAAAGTACGGCCGGTCGACTTCACACGTTACATGTCGCTCGTTTGGTACTATTCCACGATGAAGATAATCTCTGATATGATTTGCTGCACAAGTTGACACGACAGAGACACTGCAATGCCCGACTCCCTTGATCTCCACCAATCGCGAGTCTCGAAACAATCGTTGAGCAGATTTTGCGGATATCAGGGGGCAAATGGGATCGATTGTCATGGATACGAGCAGCATGGGCTCTGCCGTCGCCACTGTCAGCTGTGGCGTATATTCCATTGTTTTGGGCACGATCCATTGCTGTTTAGTGTAGTAGTCGAGGTTTTCGCTCGGTCCAAACATGCTCATGTTGACGAATGAAAGGACGGTCCCCTTGAGAAACTCTTTGCGATCCTGGGTCCAGTAGTTCGGGCCGCTACGGGCATCATTGTTAAAGACAAAGTCGCTCGAGTCGTCTCCCATATCGAATGCTTCGTGCTGGGCGTAGGCTAACCAGGCGTCGGTGGCATTACCGTTGATGGCCTTTGCCAGGTTTTCTGCGAGTGCATACCACTTGAGCGGCCTATACACTAGAGAGGGCAGTATTAGTGTGGGATACAGTTGTAGTATGTCCTAGCTTTCACTTACGCGCGGGAAGAATGCCGTTGAAGAAGATGTTCTCATATGTGAGTTGACCCCATGCCGTATTGTTCACGTACACGCTCATAGGCTGCTCTTTAAGTCGCTCTCCGAGGTCCATCACTGCCTTATGCAAATCTTCAGCCCTATTTCCGAACGCTGATAGAGCGCATTTTTCTTTCTCCTCGATGCATTGGTGAAATATGCCCATAAAAGCGTTCTCCGTGTCAGTGTAGTGAATGCTATCAAAATCGCGGTCGTACCAGTGGAAAGCGTTGGACACTCCATCGATGATGATACGCTTCGATCGCTCGGGAAACAATTGCGCATACGTCTGGCCCAGAGTTGTACCGTAGCTAGAGGTTTGTCTTAGCCGGAGCACATCGAGACGAGTTCATGACGCGAACCTGAAACCCCAATAATACATATCCTGTTGTCCGACTACATCCAGAATACTATTCATATCGGCGGCAGTTTGAGGGGTAGTAATGTAACCACCCTGCTCTCCCATAGTGTCTTTGCAAGCTCGAACGAACCCCTTCGCCCAGGCATACATTTCTGCACTGTCATGCACAGCCTCCTTGCTGCGTACTGAACTCAATTTCGACTTTATCTCGTTGTTAGGATAGCATAGTGCACGAGGCACAGATCCACCAACCCCTCGTGGATCAAAAGAGACAATGTGCAAGCCATCGCCAACAACTCCTCTCAGCTGCGCCCCACGCCGGGTTATCAATCGTAGACCACTGCCCCCTGGTCCTCCAGGATTGAGCAAGAGATTCTTTGTCGCGTGCTCTCCACCACGTAGACGGATGACAGGAATGCGGAACGTCTTATCTTTACTCTTCGACATATTAAAATGATCCATTGGAACAGTGAGGTTAAAACATTCGAGTGGATGCCCGGCAACACTCCCACATGGCTGCCACGACACCTTCTCACCTCCATACTGATGCCCAGTGCCTCCATTGCCTAAATCCCAGCTCCGGCGTTGAGATAAAATGACAAACACGGCGCCCATCCACATCTGCCCGGGAGAGTGAGCTTGGAAATAGACTTGAGAGTATCAGTATGAAAGAGCACTCACCATCAGACAGGATGCTATGGCACCAAAGATGATTCTCCTCCATCCACCCGACCGAGGAGCTGTTGGAAGATTAGCATTCTCTCTATCGTCGAGGCGTTGGTAGCTAGGCGCCATTGCGTCGATGAATTCAAGACGAGGGCAACCATGTAAATCCAATGACAAGACGAGCCTGATTGTACAAAAGAATATGCAACACTCATTCTGACCATGTCACAAGGTTTAACTGTCTCTGGAGCGGTTATCACAATAGGCCAAGGACACTGCAACTAGATGCTAGCCCTAGTCTATCGGTCCGAGGATGTGCCGTGGCACGAGCTTAGCCGTCCACAAGCTGACAGTACTAGCAACGAACTAGCGGCCAAAAAGACAATGCTTACCCTGGGTTTACTCGGCTGCAGCCTTTGCCGAACGCAGTAAGTATGACTTGTTCACTGTATGCAACACAGTCATCCCTATCTTCCTGAGAATAACAGCGGCAAATCGTAAGCGTACACTCTTATGCACTTGCAGCTTCCGCTTTGCACATACGGCTAGATTACTATCTCGCATGAGTTATTAAATCTTCCAGTATACGCTTACTTAGATAAGGCTTAGGTTCTATAGATATCTCTATTTAATTAGCTAGAGTATGGAGAAGAAGATTAACCTATAGCATTACTAAGAAGAGCTAGCACTATTTAGGTAAGGTTACTATCAAATAGGAGAGACTTAGTATAGGATTAAAAGTCGCCTACTTATAGGAGCTGGAAGCTGCAAGTGCATGAGGGAGTGTGACTTCGCATTGCCACCTGCGAGATCCCCTGCATTGACCGTCTCAACCCCCCTATGCAGGGCAATAGAAGAGTTTAAGTATGTTTCGTGCGGACTAGTTGATGTCCGGTTTGTCGACGCTCTATAAGCCGCGGTAGAAGGCCTACAGGTGTACATGGTTTTACAAGTAACAAGAAGGATCATCTCCTTGACGAAGGATGGACTGACTGAGAGCCTATGGACGTCCACGTTAGAGGGTAGTGATCACCGTGGGGAGCTAATCACGTGATGTGATATCCTGCTAAGGGATAGTAGTGGGTAATTGGGATGTACCTGCTGTCCCAACCATCCCGTGGAAGTATACGCTCGAGAGATACACCAAAATAGTAGAAATAAAGGTATTCATGATATAAGAACGGATAGATTTTAAATTCATTATTATTAACATGCCCCATGGGTTCGCGAGCCACTTCTGCTAAGTTGTAATGGGCTGAACGCCCTTTGGATAGCTCCTCGATGGTAGCCCGGTTTAAGCTGTACGCGCACTATCTAAACTACCTTTAGACTGAGCAGCACTTACACAACGCGCTTAGACACTGCGATATAACCTTTCTCTAATAAGTAAATTAAAACCAGGCGAATAGAAGTGAATATTTCTTTATTTAATATAACCTCTTGTATACCTCGCGATCACTCCCTAGAGGGTAGGCTCTCAAAAGATCTACCCTGAGCGAAGATTCAAGTGTAGATAAAGCATATACCCGTCCATATTAGAGATATCATTAGACTTAAAGGTAATAACGAGTATTAGGAGGGCAAGAATGTACGTAGATTAAGGGAATGATACTACATTATATCGAAGATGTTTCTAAATCTAGATAGTGGCTGACATCCCTCGTCGCTAAGGTGGGCAGAGACTTTTGAAAGGCTCCTCTATATATATACTCGATATATCAGCGCGCGTATTACGCTGATTATTCCTTAGCATCACTAAGCTATTAATAGTATAGCCTTTTATAAACTTTACTATATATGTAGTATAGTAGTAAGATATATAATTAGTCTATTTGATAGTATAGTTATATCTCTAGCTATTTTTCTTGCGCGCACTTTCTATCTTTTTGTATGCCGTTGCATTAGAAGACGCCGTCTCTACGTTTAATAGAGTTCTGGATTAGACATTAAGCAGGAATGCTTGCTGTCTCTATCACGGATATTAGATAGGCTCAAAACAACAGCCACTAGAGCGTCGAGCATAGACGTGTGAATTAACCAATTCTTTGACTGAGAGTAAGACGTCATAAGCAATGAACCCTATCGTCAGTCTATACACATTACCTAAGAGACGAGTGAATTTTCCAATGGTTTCATATCGAGGGCGGCATAACGATGATATTATATGCTTGATTCATCAACGCGTTGAATTCCGGCATCTACCGGTCTAGTGTTCCCGGCCCAAGTTATCAGGGATAACAAGGATTGTTTGTTGAGGTTGTATTGTCTAATCAATGGTGTCATTCGTTTGGACTTCGAACGTCGAGACCATCCAACAGTACCCTGATTGCACACACTGTGGCTGCGGTTCGATCTGCATTTCCTTGGGGTTGAACGGACATGCCAAGCACGTTGAGTAGACTTGACAGGTTTGGTAACTGTGTGTAGAAGGTTAAGCCTGAGTGTGGGTTGTTCACATGGGCATCACCATCTTACCTGGTCTTGGAACCGGCGTCTCTGTTCCACCAGACTCCCCTCCGCGTTCTTGCCCTTGCTGTAACGCTTAACGAATCGAGAGAACTCCTCGTCCAGGACCTCCTCTGCTGATCGCAGAATCTCATCACGATAACATTGTACTTCCCACTCCGTCCATTTGTTTCTCGAGTCTTCTTCAATAGCGCGCAGGAGATCGACCAGTCCTCTTCGACGAGATCGTTGACGTCTGTGCTGAAGGGCAGGTCGACGTTGAAGATCCGCCGTGTAGTATTGTGTAGCGAATTCATCGACACTGTCAAAGCCCAGCTCGCGAATACTTTCAATCGCCTTCTCAATTTGCGTGGCAAGACATATTGGCGAGTCAATGCTACTGTTGGCCTTTCGTGAATCTTCGTTGCTCATCTGAGGCGCGTGCAAGTCAGGCGATCGATCTTCTGCTGATGATCCATCTCCTTTGTCCTGAGTCGAGTCATTCGAATTCAGACCAAAGTGGAGACCGAAGATGGCTGACAAGGGCGTGTTGTAGTAATCTGCCTGTTGCTTTTGCGAAACAATACGTCGACTCGAACCGGCCGTGTTGCTGCACGATTTGGAATGATAGCTCTCAGGTGTCCCTTTGGCTACAGTGGGAGCGTAAGGCAAGCCCTGTTCTGTGCAATCAAGATGGTCTGGATTAGAAGATTTGCTATTGTTTCGAGGTACTTCTTGGTCACTGTCGGCCGACCAAGGCATAGCATCCGGTCTGCGCAAAATATTGCCATCGCAACTCTGGACCATCTGAGCTGCAGGCTGCCGAGAAAGAGACGCAATATTGGCAGCCATATTCAAGTCCACATCGTTCAAGGTCGCTGACATGAACGTATCAGATACTCCATCCGATGAACGGCCAGAGGCACAGGGGAACGGGCCGTTCAGTGCAAGCTCCGCAGGGTAGGACCACAAGTTCATTTCGTCCTGAAATTCTTGTTGTCCAGTCAGCTGTTCTAGTATCTTAAGCTTTTCCCCCACAATTCGTCCTTGACTATGATTACTGAAAGCTCATGACGGGGAATGGAGGACAAATGGACATACGGTGTTTCCGTTGTGCTACTCGATTCTGTATACGCTTTCGCAATGTCTGATCAGAGATGTGGTGCCAATCATCATCATCGTTCGCCTCAGGTCTTGCACTTCTCTTTCGCGGCATGCTGATAGTTCTCAACGGTGCTTCCCTGATTGACAATGCTACTGTAGCGATAAAGACACAAAAGTAGCCTCTAGCGCGATCCATGCGCCTTGGCCTGGCCCTAGCTCTAGCCCGGATGTGCGTACAGGTGGCAACAGTGTTGTGAAATGCACCGCTGATTGGGGGAGCAAGAATGTCCTCCCGACTGGGTTGGCGCGGCAATTATAGAGCTTATGGCTCATCGACCCACGCTTGTATTAGCTTCGGTGTGGACAAAGTTTAAAATGCTGACATCTCGACCGCGCGAAATAAGAATGTTGAATGAGGGCAAGCGGCACAGCATTACGTCTCACAGATGGAGCTTTAGCTGCATATTACGGTCGATGCCTGAGGGATTTTCGTACCCCGAGAAACGCGATCTATGCGGCTTCAAGAAGCTCTACACTGATTAGCCGTGCTAAGATGTTCGGAAATCCCGTATGCAGATAGAAACTCATTGTAATGTGTGGGCCGAATCCAGCCTAGCGCGCACCTACGCGCCCCGCCCATGTGACCAAAAGGTAGGCACAAGATAATAAGCTTATCTTATCATCATGGTAGCTACGTATGTATACTTTACATAAACACGCGCATATATTATGACTCTAATCATAAGAGCCTACCTTATTATACTTGTGGAATAATAGATACTAAACTGTCTACCTATCTAGTACTTTACTTTACTAAGGTATCAGTATTTAGCGTAACCTCATCTAGATTCCTACTTACGAGTAAGCTAATAGCTATTTATTAACTTCTCGAGATAACTTTTAAGAAATACTAACCTATTTCGAATAATTAATATCTATACTAGCAAGCTAGAGTAAACTCATTAAATACTCTTATTAATAATATAATAAATATAGATAACTAGCTATTATATAAGTATTTCTTCTAATTATATCAACTCTATATTATTTATAAGTATCTTTAATATTAATATTTCTATCTTTTAAGTATTACTACACCTCTTTCTCTACTTACTATATAGAGTATTAGATAAATTATCTTAGAAGAGAATAGAAGATTATAACTTGATGTTGCTATAATTAGGAATATGTATTAAGTAAAATAAGAATTAATACTTCTATAAATACTAACCTTAGATAATTAAAGACTTGTTAATATATAGTACTCTATTAAAACTAAACTACTATCTTTGTTAAGTCTACTGTTACTACTATAAGTATTAAGAAGTTATAAATTATAACGGCGCAGGCAAGAATACTCGGATTAATATCGGCGGCAGTGTCACTTAGAGGCATATGGGAGTGCGTAGGACATTAAACGAGCCTCAATTTAAATAGATATCTATAGGCCTTATATAAAAGGATATTAAAAATCTACCTAATAAGCTATTATAGCAGTTAGGTTTATAAAGTTGTTTTTTCTACTAGGCTAAATTATACCCTAGTTTGGATCCTGTTTAGATATATATAGAAACGGGTGCTAAGCCGTTATATAAATAACCTAGTAGTAAAAACTATTAAAGCTAATAAATACTTATATATTAGCGAAAAATATTAGTAGTTATTAGCTAGTTCTAGATAATTTTAATGTTCTAAAAGCTTATTTATCTTCTTTCTTTTTTTATAATCTCTTTAAGAAACATACAGGCTGGTCATTGGGTCTCTACATTAGGATCTTAAAAACGCTATTATCTCCACCAATATTTACCCGATTAGGAAGTTTAGTAGCTTATTTTAAAGTTCTCTATTAGGGCTTAATTTTGCCATATTATAGTAACATGCTAGCTCTGCTATATAAGGAGATATTTAAGATTAGAGTAAAATATAGAGACTTAACTCTTAGTAAGGTAAGTAAGCTAATAACTTCTTACTTATTAGAGTTATTTTATTACTATACTAAGTAGAAATAAGACTTAGATTAAGGGATATAAAGTAAGCTACTAAACTTCCTAATTAGGTAAGTATTAGCAGAGTGAATTAAGAAAAACGATCCCGAGGTGGAGACCTAACTTACCACGCTAGAAATATAGCATTTACTTTAAATAATTAATACTTTATTATCTAACTATATAAGCTCCTCTTATGTAAAGCTATAAAAATCTTTTTTAAGTAATCTCTATACTTACGTTATAAATAGCTCTAAATTACGATATTATTAAAATATAAAATAAAGAAGATTTTAAGATAATTTTATAATATATTATTAATAACTCTCTATAATATAATCGAAACTTATATTAAGTTTATAATTATTACTAAGAACTTATATAAGAAAAACTTTATTTAGAATATAGTAAAGTGCTCTTAGCTTTTCTTAATACGTATATTATTAAAGACTATAATAAAATTTATCTTAAAAAAGTACTGAATATTTATACATTATTGAAAGCTTTTTTAATTAGTAGTAGTAAGTATTAGTTCCTAACTAAGATTCTAGTTAAGCTTTAGTAATCTATATAGAAATAGAGATTTTAATTAAACTTTATAATAAATAGAATAGAGACAGCTATGAAGAAGAAACTTAGATAGATAAGTCTTTTATATAAAATTCTCTTTACGCTGCGTTTATAGAGCTATAAGCTTTTTATAAACTACGTTAGTATTATTTCTAATTATATACCTATATCAAATCTTTAAACAATATCTACTTTTAAGTTCCTTAGTAAATAATAGTTAAGATTATAAGATTATATATAAATGCTTTTAAATAATAGAACTTATAAATATTATAATTTTAATCTATTTCAAAAACCTTAGTAGGTCTTAAGATATATCGAGGTAGTATAAAAATATCTATATTCTATTAAAGAACAAGTAGGTATATTAATGAATATAGGATGTAAAACTTGTTATACCTAACCACGTCTAGTAGAGAATAATCAAATACATAGTTGCTGTCGGACCTTGGGGTCGCCATCGAGTGTTGAACATCACGGATTCCGAAACGCGTTAGCGCCGGGGCCGGAACTGTGTATATACGCTTACTGTGTCCCTTCGTCCTGCTCGACGAATCAACGAAGAAAAGAATTACTCATTTAATAACTATAGCCCTTGAGATTTAACTAGGGCATGATAAACGCCTTGCATGCGCAGAAGGGCTTCATGGGCCCCCTGTTCGACTAACCTTCCCTTGTCCAAGACATAAATGATATCCGCATGTTGGATAGTCGCCAGCCGGTGAGCGATGGCGACCGCGGTCCGCCCTTGGCGCGTTGCTTCCAAGGCAGTCAGAACGAGCTTCTCGCTATTGTTGTCAAGCGCTGACGTGGCCTCGTCCAACAGCAGAATGGGCCTGTCGTGCAGGAGGGCGCGAGCAATGGTGAGGCGCTGCTTTTGGCCGCCAGAAAGCATGCTGCCGCCCGATCCGACCTGAGTATCGTAACCCTCTGGGAGGGAAGTGATGAAGTTGTGAATGTTGGCAGCTCGGCAGCTGGCGTGCAGTCTCTCCTCACTGACGAACTCAAAGGCATCTTGGCCAATCATTAGGTTTTCGCGAATTGTGCCCGAGAAGATGGCAGGTTCTTGACTGACAAGTGAGATCATCTGTCGGTAGCTGTTCAGGTGAAGCTGGCGAATATCCTGGCCATCCAATGTGATGCGGCCATGCGTAGGGTCGTAGAATCGCTCGAGGAGCGACAGGACTGTGCTTTTCCCACTGCCACTGCCGCCGACAATGGCAACGAATTTGCCCACGGGGATTTCGAGGTTGATATGGCGCAGAGCCATGGTTTGCGGACTGGAAGGGTACGCCATGGATACGTTTTCAAATACAATGTGCCCCTCATTGTCCTCGCGTGATACTCGCTTCCCTCGCTGGGACCACGAGTCTATCTCTGGCGTCCTTTCAAACAGCCGCTCCAGCTCATGGGCAGCAAGTGCTGCCTTGCTCATATTTGGAGCAAAGTTGAACAACGCGCCGGCAACTGCAGCTCCCCAAACTAGAGCAATAAGGCATATGTAGTACTGCGTCAAAGTGTATTCCCCTCGGGCGAGCAGAAAACTTCCATACCAAAATGCTAATGCAGAGGCCAGGAAATTGATCCCCTGAGATGCTGCGTAAAGTGCAGAGGTGCGAAGAATAGGCCCCAGAGATTGCGCAGCTTGCGTCGCCAGGATTGTGCTGTACCTGGCGAGCACATACCTCTCCAAGCCGGCAGAGGCGACAACCCGTATTGCACCAACGACCTCGCCCGCGTAGGCAGCGGCTTCCTCGCCAGCTTGGCGGATCTTGCTGTCGAAGACCATGATGACCTTGAGCCGGACCCAACCAAGTCCCGCGAGAATAGGTACGAGTGGAAGACAGAAGAGCGATAACTTCCACGCCACGCCCAGGGCTACGCCCAGGGCCAGGGCAATGGTCGAGGCAAAAGTGACAATACTGCCAATGACAATGCCACTCAAGCCCATCAGATCAGTGGCACTGCTGCTCAGCTTTGAAGCCATCCGTATGAGATCATGTGCCTTGTCATCAAAGTACCCAATGTTTTGACGCAGGATGGCCCGCAAAGTAGCATCGCGGACACGGCGGGCAAGTCTCTCTGTCGAAACGGCGAAGAAGACCCCGTTGAGTATGCCAACAATAAAGCCATAGATTCCCGTAATCGCAAATATCGACGTCCAGAAATCAGTTCTTCGCATCATTTCGTGTGCGTTTGTGAGCGAGAATGCGTTCAGCGTGTTTGCATACCAAACTGCGGGTATGATTAGATTGGCGCTGGCCAGTAAAGACGTAATAATGCCTCCACAGAGGTACCATCGCTCGGGCCAGTTCAACTGTAGAATCATCCATAGAGCACGCCAAACTGATGGCATATCATCTTGCTTTGCGAGATCCTTGTTGGAGCTGCTCGTGGCTTGGGGAGACTCTACGCGGTTTTTGACAAGTTCCTGCAGTTCTATATCGTCGAGGTCAAGGTCGTCGTCGTCGCTGCTATCATCTTCCCTCTCTTCGCTGTAAGCTCCATCATTAGTGTCCGATTCTGTCGTTGCGGTTCTCAGTTGATGCCTGTGGATGAGTTCTGCATAAAGTCCACGCTGTGCAAGCAGTTCGTCGTGGTTCCCTTGCTCGACGACCTCTCCAGCCTGCATCACGACGATGTTGTCTGCATTTCGTATTGTAGAAAGGCGATGTGCGATGACGATTGTCGTCCTGGTCTGAGAGGCAGACTCCAAAGCTTTTTGAATCACCTTCTCCGAGTGTGTGTCAAGGGCAGCTGTGGCTTCATCGAGCAGAAGTATCTTGGGATCCGAGACAATTGCACGAGCGATGGCTATGCGCTGACGCTGTCCACCGGACAATGAGTGACCCTTCTCGCGGAGTTCGGTATCGTAACCCTGAGGCAGTGCCATGATGAAGTCATGTGCGTATGCCGCCTTCGCGGCTGCAATCACACGCTCTCGATCCTCCTTATCATTGGTCGCCACTTTTGCAGAGCTAATTAAGCCATGGCGAATGTTTTCGAAGATTGTGGTGTTGAACAACGTTGGTTCCTGCCCAACATAGGCCATTTGCTTCCGCCACCAACACAGGTTCAAATCAGCCAGGTCAACACCGTCAACGCGTATCGATCCCGCTGTGGGCTCGTAAAACCTCTCCAGCAAGCTCAGGATGGTACTTTTGCCACAGCCAGAGAGACCAACCAAGGCAGTAGTCTTCCTAGCCGGTATAGAAATGTTGACGCCTTTCAATGCTTTGGTTTTCCTTCGAGAAGGATAGACGACCTCCACATTCTCGAGCTCGATGTTACCTGTCAGCCTATCGGGAATGAATCCGGTGTTCTCAAAGGGATCCATCGCAGACCGCCTATGGATAATCTTGAAGGTGGCACTGAGGCTGCTCATGCTCGCCACAAAACCTTCTAGGAGAGGAATGACACGAAGCATGGCAAAAGCACCGTTGACCACTGTGATCGTCGTGGCAACTACAGCTGCCACGTCAGAATCTCCTCTGCTCAGGAAGTACTTGGCGCCGGACCAAAATCCTAGCGCATACGCCCAGTTGGGCATGCCGCTCGACCAGCCAAATGCAACTGCCATGTAGACGCGTGACTTGATACCGTATCTCTCAGCGCCGCGAATGAACTTGTCGTACTTTTCAGCCAATTGATTTTGACTGTTGGAGGATACGACGTGCCTGATGTTCAAGATCGCTTCATACGCAACGTTGGAGCCGACAGAGTAAAAGTCCTTGGATATTTTGGAGTTTTTGACCGCAAAGCGCGAGGTTCCCGTAGTCACCAAGATCATGGCGACTAGAATGCTACAAAGAATCAAAGCCAGCCGCGCGTTCATGATGAAGGCAATGGCGAATGCGGATAGAAAGTTTGACGCCGCAGTGAGAGCGAGAGCCGATTTACTCGTCAGTGCCTCCTGCACTTCGATCATGTCCGAGGTAATGTGAGTTGTGAGCTGACCAATGCTGACAGTGTCGAAAAAACTGATGTTCTGGCGCACAATTGCCTGCAGATAAATCCTCCGCAGTCGACGCACAATTCGCTCGCCAGACCAGTAGAATCCAACTGTGCAAATGTAGGATGAGACAAATTCAACCGCTGCAAGATATACGAAATACCATGCAAAGTGATCAGTCCGGCCAAGCAGTTCTCCTGGTGATGTGGAGCCATCCGCGAAACCGACAAACACTCCCGTGAGTTCACCAAAAAGTAGCTATCGATTCAAAGGTCAGTCTTTTTGTCGCTTGTCTTTGTTGGAAAATGGGATGATTGAGAGAGAAGGTGGACGAACAGATATGAATGGGTTCGCAGCTCCCGCAACAAGACCAGCCATTGAGCTCAACACAATGGCCATTTTGTCCCGTTTGGTAGCATACGACCACAGAGAAAACTCCTGGTTATTGCGAGTAGATGGAAATCCATTGAGTTGACGATCAAGAACGGCCCTGTTTTGTTTACTGAGCGCGACACTTTGCCCGTCACAAACGGCATCAAACCCTAGTGGAGCGGGACTCTCGTCATCGTCCTCGCTAATAGGACGCAAGGGGATGTACTCGGCTTCATTCTTGTCCGAGAGATGTAGTGGAGTGTCCTCATCATCACTGTCCATTGCGTAGTGTTGCGAACTTCGAGGCATGGCGCAGAAGTACTTGCAACAAACGTCTCAGCGTTACTATGCTTTACTTCTCACCCTCTAAATGCGCGAATGCTATACACGGGAGCCGCAACTGTAAGCGGAACAGTCAGAAATCAGACACAACCTCCCTGACATGCAAAGTCGTCGGAGCTAAGCTATATTCGTCTGATAGTAGTCAGATGCTCCGTGCAAGGGTCATCGGCTACCCGTGCCAGGTATCAGCTTATTAAGCTAGGTCAGCTGCGCTGACACTCGCCTGCGGCGAGTGCCGACCCTTAATACGATACAGTCGTTAGCGATTGCGGCTTCACCCGTAAACACGATTGCACGACAGATTTAAACAGCCCTACCTTCCGCATATAGCTTAGTGTCCGCTATCTACTACGAACTAGGCGATGTAGTTAGCTAATTATTAAAATACTAATAATAAATTTTACAGATGTCGCATAGAGAGATAAAGCTATAATCGCTAGCTACTATATTACCTTTAATCCTACATCCTTTTTATCTCTCTATTACTTTTATCCCTACTTAGAACTAGAGTTTCTTTCCTCTATTTGTTATATAGTGCATCAGGATAGTTATTATAAAGAGATTTTGGCTCCGGCCTTTCTAAGAAGAGTTTCTAAGAGAAAGGACTCTAAGATTTATTATAACTAGCATCGAAGGCTAATCGTATTAAAGTAACGATAGCTCTAAGTAATAGTGGATTAGAGTTCTACTAGTAGAAACAGAAGTATCAGTAATAAAGATTCTAGAATAGATGCATTCTATCATATCTTTTACTATATTTAAAATCTAGCTATATAGATTAGAGAATTAGTTTCTTTCTTCTCTATAATAGTAATAGGCGCTTTATTCTACCAAAGTAGCTTAGCTTTAGATATCTACTAAAATCACCAGCCTTAAGTAGGATAAAAAGTGAAAACTAAGTCTACATTTTATTATTATATAGACTTCACGTTATTATTAAGAGATTGTTCTTAGAAGACACAGTGAGTATTACTTCTATTAATAGTAAACTACTAGTTAGAAAGCTTGGATGACCATCGCTACCTAAGCTATAGGGTGTGTTATAGCATATCTAATATCTAGTTGTGCAGGTTAGGGAATCAGTTCTTTTTCTTTTTCTCTGCGATCATACTTTATTACTAGGTACTTTGCTTAATTAAATTATTATATATTAGTTTGTTAGGACATAATAATCATTATTAAAACTATTACGTCTCTTTATATAAGTATACTAATCTACTACTTTACTAGATACGTTCTATGGAATGCTGGCGCAAAACTTACTAGCCCTAGTGTGGAACTTAGAGAAGTACAGAGCTTAACCCCGTGCAATGATAAAACGTGTACGTATTAGTAACTAAATTCGATCACTAGACTCTTAATAGAAGATTTTACTAACCATAATTCCTGAGTATTATTATAGTTGTATTGTAATAGTCGTGTGGTAGTTATGTACTTGATGGGATTTTAGCACGTCCGGGTACTCGCCCATCTTAGACATTATAAATTATTAGCCCGCATACACTCTACTAGGCCCTTGATCATTCGCACTACTCTCACATACCTTCCTGACCCTTGCCTAGATTCACAGTCACCTGAAGCATGACAGAAATGCGCCGACATGGTTTCAAAGCATAGCTTGTTGTGGATGTCTCAACTCACATATTCTGCTGACAGCACTCAAGAGGCATTTTGGTGCTGACCCACAATGTTACCAAACCGATTGCACAGGAACATTACATGAGATTTCATGCGATGTGATTTCGTAATGGTCATCCCAAGGTAATGATATTGCTTCGTCTTGTTTCCTCGATGTAGTCATCCTTGGTGCCCGTAATGACCAACTGTAGCGTTCGGCCCGGCGCATGGCCAGAAAACGTAAGTGTCTCTCGTTGCTTGACATCAAACACATTGTCGCTATCACCCTTACCATCCACAAGCCATTGGGCTTTCAACGCAACACCTGGATCCCAACGCCCAACGCTGGCTTGCGGCTCAGCGTGCAAACGCCCATCAGACTGATGAGAGGGGTACATGTCAATATGAGGTGGCGACTGGCGGGTGAGCGCTGCTTGACGGCCCCCGAATGCCAAAACGTTGTCCCACAAATTTCCTCTCGATGCGCCTCGAGTGTACTCATCTGAGAGCGGCGTTTTCCCTTCGGGGGCATGATCCGCGACCCATTGAAGGAGCAAGTCAAGGTAGATCCATTTCGGCAGCAGATTGTACACCCCACCATGTGCCTCTCCCGGGAATACCGTCACATTAGCCCATTCTGGCCCTCCATTTTCAGTAACTCGCATGCGGAACTGCTCAACACCTTCGTTGAGATAATAGCTATCCATACCGCCCACGTAGATATGTATTCTCCCTCGAAGCACTTCCCCTAGGTTGAGTTTGCTATCCCAATTGCTGAGTATATGATGTGTGAGATCCATAGGTTTCCAGAGTTCCACTACATCTGGATAGATCTCTCCTGTAATCTTGTCCCAGGCAGCGAGGGGATACCCGTTGAGCCCTTGCACGCCGAATACGGCAAACCAGACATCAGTCTGTAGGGCACTACGCCCAGACGTCCCAAATGTGAGCTCCCAATGATTCTCTTCTTCCATGGTGACCTTGACGCGCTCTACGCTGTCATCGTCAACCTTCCGGTTTGATGGTACCGGGAGGCCGTTTCGGACATGAGCTTCTGCCTGCTCATAAAGATTGTTGTCCTGGTGTCGGTGAAAATCGAGACTATCTGGATAGGAAGCGAAGCACGCGCCGTACAGATCTGGCCGAAAGATGACACTGGCAGCGGCCGCCCAGCCCCCGGTAGAACCACCTTCCTGTATCCGCGCATAAGGTTGCGCAATCGTGCTGAACATCATGTCCAGATGGGGCACTAGTTCGTCGTTCAGGGCGTCGCCATACGGTCCCAGATTCGGCGAATTCACAGCGTAGGAATCGTCATAGAATGGATTCTCATGGCGAAACATGACAACAATGACCTTGGGAGTCGGCCGTGCTGGTTTCCCGTCCTGAGCTGGAATCGTGCCGCTGTGCCAGGCTTCTGTGAAGGCTGCATCGTGACTCCACCAACTCTCGCCCCCAAGCCAGTGAAACTGAGAGTAGACGACGGGATAACGTGTACGCGTGTCCGACGCATTGTACCCGGCGGGCAAGAGAACTTTGGCGCCGATATACATGTCTCTGTTCCAGAAGCTGCTCAGAGAGTCGCTTCGGATCTTGACATATTTGAGCAGCTCGGTGTCTTTGTAATTCCCCTGCGAGCAACCACCAATCTCCATCCCATCGAAGGGAATGGGTTCGACGGTTGTCTGGAATTGCAGGCTGATCGTCTGGGTTATCCCGCGTCGAATCTCGAATTTGCGTATATTAGTACTGAGGCTCCCACTCCCTCCGAAGGCAGGATTGCCATCTCCACACGGAAATCTGATTGTCACCATAGATCCATCGCTCCGTATAACCGTTTCGTTATAGATATTGAGAAAGGCTTGAACAAAGTACACTCCTTGGGGGGTTTCGTCCAACGCACGGATGGGCCATCCGAACACCCCAATTTCTATATTGTCGGCACTCCCGCCCGTGAGTACCAAGTCCTGTCCATAGAAGCTGTAGACGTTCTTGCCGAAAAATTGTGTCGTCGTATGTCTGACATCTGTATTGCGGAGGTCGTCTTTAGTCTTCCCTAGCAAGAGAAGAACCCTGCCTGATTCCACAGTATCCGATAGTAACCCGGGCGCTGTGGTGATGTGTACTGTAAGCTTCGGACCAAAAGTGGCGACAGCCTGCGCCCAGGCGTAATACGCGGCAATGCTGCCAATACAGAAAAGCACAACCAGTGTGAGTTGTCGATCACTAAATTTGATCGCCTTCTTCGGTTCATATGATGGCCACCGCCAGCAGATGGGACGACGAGAGTTCCAGTAAGAACTCATATCAAACCACCCAGCGAAACAGTATAAGGAAAAGACGCCAGCATTGATCTTTGAAACCCACAAGAAAACGGAGCTGGAGTAGGAAAATACCTACTTGAGCGCCCATCCTGAACCCATGCTCTCATTTCAGTTGTCTAGATTTGCCGATAAACGGCTAGTTCATTCTGTGTGCATATGTTGCTATCATCACATGGTTACAAAGCTGACTTGTGCTGAATTAATCAGCCTTACTCATTTCTGACTATGTATCTGAGCAGCTTACCGGTACATTTCGACTTTCTAGTCATCGCCCGAGCATGAAAAAACATGACAAACAGCGAGAAATCCATTTTCAAAACTATCGTGACAAAGGGCTAGAAATACACCCGCTAATAGTTGTAATAGTCTCTATCGGCTATTGCGCGCCCCCCTCGCGTTAGTTTAACACTTATAGAGCTACTTATACTACCCTAGCTAGTATAGATAATAAAATCTGCAAGTAAGCTACTTAAGATAAAATATCTACTAGATATAATATAGTACTATTAGACGTAAGATCTTAGAGTAAATACCTTAATTTAGTATTATAGTTAACGTACCTTACGGGTTCGTGCATCACACGGGTTCGTGCATCACTTTTGCCAAGACCCTACTAAAACACCTACCCTACCTAAATATTGTAATCACAATACTTTTTATAGCCCTATAGTAAATATTAAATATTACTTACTCTCTAAACTTTTAAATAAGATATACATCTCTCTATATAACGTACTATAGCTATCTTTAAGATAACTTAATTAATAATAAGCTAATAATACGTAAGATAGACTCTATAAGTAGATTACTAGCCTAAAATAATAAATTTAACTAAGCTTAAAGAGAAGATACTTATTAACAATAACGTGTTTCACCACCGAGCGAGCAGCCTCACCGAACGGGCAGCTTTTCTACTACGCCCCACCTTCGTAACAACGCCGCTTCACACTACTATAATTTTTACTAGTAAGTAGAATATAATATTATTCTTTAAACGCGTTACTATCTTTTATATTCTCTAATTCT